GCACACACTAATCAAGAGGCCAATGACCAGTCACAACACCTTCGGGTGCCGTGGCACCTGCAAGCTTGGCTCAGCCTTCTTACGCCACGGGCTCGGCTGATGGTCCTTCACTTGCTGTCAGCTCGATTGCCGTTTGAGGGCTGAGTGGCACGGATTCTTTCAAGACAATCAAAGGTCGGCATGGAACCAGGCCCTTTGCGGAGGTCGGCGACCACTTAGAGGCCCACACCAAAGTAGATGCCCATGTCTCCCACCGAGAAAATGGAATGACTCCGCCCATGTGATGGACCGGGACACATGTCTTGCCATCCTGGTCCTTCACAGTCGACTTGCCTTTCTGACAGACTTGCACAGGACACAAAGGGCTTAGCAAGCCCAGCTTAGCAATCATGTTCCACAACTCCCCCACAAAGGGGCTTCAACTCCAAAAGTAGAAACCAGTACCAAAATCATGCTGGATGCAGTCAGCCGGGATTGCCTGGATCTCCCAATAGATTGTGTGAGTTTGAGACATCGTGAAGAAGGCTGGCTTTGTGCTTGTCGGCGAATCGCAGATCTTGTGGTAGGACACAGTCACATCCGGCTGGGTTTTGCGCCGCTCCTAATATCAGAAAGGGCCGAACGTTTTTAGGCTAGCTGCTGGTAAAAGCGTGGAGTTAAGGGGTCCGGGGGAGCTTCTCGTTTGTCTACGATCTCCTGCACTGCTTCGCCCAGGGTGTGCACTTTGCTTCCGATCTGGATCAAGCTGTCGGCATCCTTCAATGTGAACAAGATGTCACTCTCTTTGACAGAAGCCTGGTCTTTGCTGCCCTTGTGCTGCCACCACTTCCCCTTGTAGAATCCGGCCACGCAGGTGTTCTTCTCCAACACCACGTCCTTGTCCTGGCTGTGATTGACCAAGAAGATCCTCTCCCCCAAAGTGATAATCACTGAAACCTTTGCCTTGGCAGACTTTGGCAGATGCAAGTCTGCTTCCCATGTAAGTGGCTTCGGAAGATCTTTCAAGGGAATTGATCGCTTGGCCACGACCTCTGGATTCACAAGGGTCTCCACCTTCTGCTTCTTGGCAACTCGGCCTTGTGTGCCATCAGCTTCCCTCTTCAAGCCACTGCCGGAGCCACTGCCCGAGCCACTGCCAGCGCCACTGCTCTTGTCTGCCTTCTCCGGTGTCAAGTCAAGAGGAAGCTCCTCCCTCGATTTTTGCAAGAATTCTTCGAATTCTGTTTTGAATCTCGCGTGATCGCCCCATGCCGCGAGCACCCGGTCGGGCGTCTTGAGGCTCGGAAGGCCTTCGTACTTTTGCACCTTGTTGAGCAGCAGAGTCTGCAGATTTGGTAGCGGGGGTGCGGCTTGCTGCAACTCGGTGGGCATCTCAATCGGGGGAAGGCTCATTGTCGGTGGCAGCTGGAGGCTCCCGTCCAAAAAGCTGTCTGCCAGCCAGTCCCTCACGAAGGATTTTGACCACTCGAGCTCTCCCTCGCTCCTTGTCAAGCCCAGGTAGTACACGGGCAACTTGGTCTCAGCCAGGGCGGCTCTGCTGAAGTCACAGGTGTGCGGGCTCAAGTCAATGCACAGAAACGCACTTCTCGTACCCGCAGTGGCTCCAACTGTGGAGTCCTGGGCCAAGAAGCCTCGGAGGATCGACCTCGCTGCTGACTCTCCGATCTGCATTGCCTTCTCTGGCTGGGGCACATGGACATGGGCATCGGTGGTTGTTGGCAATGCCGCAGGATCCAGATCCTCTATCGCCAGAAGGTCCCGGGTCTGGGGAAGGTCCGCCTCTTCCAATAGGGGTTTTCTGAAAATGGCGGACAGTCGCCAGTTCTCCTGAGCCCGTTCAGCAGCCACTTCGTCCATCGGCATCAAAATGCGGGTGAGCATGAGCAGTGGCCTGACACTGTCACAGTCAAGTGAATCACACGTGACCAGAGTCCCACATCCCGGAATAACAACACAAATCAAACCCCATTGAACCTCTTCTCTCGGTCGTCGTTGCGCCCTTTGTAGGGCACCACAGCAACGTGGTCGAGATTGAGGTTGGACTCCGCAAGGAGCCTCAAAGCCTCCTGCTCTGTCTTGTGAAGCTGACCCTTGTTGTATGTAAACGTAGGTGTCAGGCACACGCCTCCAGCCACGGCATTCCTTAATTTAATTGCTTGTGACTGTGTACAGAAATTGAAAAGGACCTACGCAAACTTCATCATGCCAGAATCTGGCAAGCTACTGCCCATTCAAGATGGCCCCCATCAAAGATGCTTGATCTCGCTGAACTTGGGACGAAAACAAAGAGGGTGCACACCAATTCAGGATGACGATGCACTTCAAGTTCTCCGCCGAAATCTGGTTTAGCCTGCAGATGTACTTCATGGCCTCTTGGATGGTCTTGAGGCCCTGGGCTGCTGACTCCAAAACAGCAAACTCCATCCTCCAAGTTTCCGAGCTTCGCCGCATGATGCCTTCAGCCATCTCCTTGGCTCGATTCTGCCTGCCAAGCCTCCACTGAAGATTCTGATGATAAACCCCGGCTTCGCGATCGCGGCTCCGAACAAGCCAAGCACCATACACGTCCATGTCGTGTCGCATGGAAGCAATGGCAAGATCGAACTCCTGCCGCTCCAGCTGTCCCGGATTGATGCTGTTCGAAACCGCACCAAGGTTGCGAAGCTTCTTCTCCCCGTCTGCGACATGCTTTTGGATGTATTCCCTGAGCACCAGAATGTCTGCAGGAGCAAGGTTGCTTCTCTTCTCTGAAAGGGCTCCTTGGAGCTGCAGAAGCAAGTTCATGTCTCCCTGCACCAGGAGTGTGCATACGTCTTCCTTGACCTGCAGGGGCACTGAGTCCTCCAGCTCATGAACAAGGGAGTGCAAGAGCTGGCATACCAAAGCGGCCTCCTCCACATCCGACCCGCTGAACTTGCATCGTGAGCCTGCAAGCTTCATCCGGTGTCGATTGTCCAGGTACTTGATCATGAGGCAGAAGCCTTCGTCCGTCACCTGGAGCCGACTGTTCCATTCTCTGGGGTAGCCCTTCGGCCCACCACCTGGCAACACCTTCTTGTTGCTCCATTGGTTGTCGTTGAATGCTCCTTGAGACCCGAACTCGTTCAAGTGTTCGAGCAGCGCATCGACGCAAAACTGTGGCAGATTCAACAGGGACAACAGGGCCGTGTGCTTGGCCCCTTTGATCTGCCCATCCTTCGTGCACGTGCGGTTCCACTCCTTAATGATACTGGTTGCATCATGATTGTGCTTCTTCAGCACCATCATTTTGGCCAGCCATGTCAAGCAACCTCGCTCAAAGGGTAACTGATGACATAAGAACACCGAAACTACACACCCACAAAACCCAGCTGTCCAAGGAGCAGTGAGCCTTGCGAATGTCCCCGCGTGCACTCATCTTTGCGTTGAACAGGGCCACTGAGGCAATGTCACAGCCACAGTCTGCCTGTGTGACATGAATCTCACACATGCTCTCCTGCACGAAGGTCTTCAAATGGAAGCCGTACCGCATGACAAGGCTGGCCAGCACAAGGCATGCTGCTGACCTTGCGGCTCCTTTGGCAAAATGAAGAATGAAATCGTTCCTCCCAGGGTCCTGTGCCTGGTAGACCATCAGGGGCTCTGCTCGGGTCGCCACTCCACTTGTCAAGTACTCATCCAGCAATGATCTCACGGTGACACGGTCAGGCACCGGCTTTGTGGAGCAATCCGGGCCCCAGTTCAAGTGCCAAAGAGATACGCTGAAGTTGCCAGTCGACGGAATCACATAGGACAAGAGGTACTCTACCTCGGGCTTCTGTGGGAAGAGGGCACGAAGCTGATCAGCAAACGCAGACCGGTCTTTGTGAAAATGGTCGAGATACGCCCAACAGTTCTTGAACCTGTTCACCTCCTTCTCGAAAATGTCCAGAACAACATCGCGGAAATTCTCGTCGGTCACTGTCTCGTGAGGAAAGGTCGTGTCGCTTTCCTCCGACTTCGCGACCTCCATCTTCACATCCGCCATGACAAACAGCAGCCCTAAAGGCGGGTGTCCAGTCTAAAGCCAAGACTTCGCGACGAGAAAAGTTGTCATTTTGCAGGAATTCGGAGACTCCCACACAGGCCAAATCTGACGAACAGGGGGGTCCGAGCTCAGGGGGGGGAGTACGTCAGATTTCAAACGTAATCTGACCATCTTCATATAACAGATGGAGGATCTGACCAACGCAGGGTCACGAGCTCAGGGGGGGTAGTACGTCAGGTTCATATAACAGAACAAGGAGTACGTCAGATTTCAAACGTAATCTGACGATCTGGGGGGTCTGAGCTCGGAGGGTCCTGATCGTCAGGTTCTGCAATTGTACAGACTCCGTTGCTCTCTCTCTTGCTCTCTCTCTCTCTCTCTCTCTCTCTCTCTCTCTCTCTATCTCGTCTTCTTCTCTCACTCTCTCACAGAGTGACGACAGCTCTCTCTCAGAGCTTCATACAATGCTACTACGTAGTCCTGCACCTTCTTCTCGTCTTCTGATCTCACTCTCTCACAGAGTGATAGCTCTCTCTCAGAGCTTCATAGAATGCTACTCTGTAGTCCTGCACCTTCTTCTCACCCGGGAAAAGCCAACTTCTAACACGGGCTGACAATCACACTGGTCACATGAGCACACTGCAGCTTCAATCAATCAGAATTTCCAGCGGTCTGCATCTCCAAAACAACATTGAGTGCCAGGCATCTTTCTTGATCTCCATGTCATCAGCATGACCTGATGATGTTCGTTTTCCAGCTTCTAGCAGCAGAGATGCACACTTCCGGGAACAAGACAGAGGCTGTGATCCTGCTGCCTGCTACGTCTCTGTCGTGCAGAATCAAAGCTTCGCATGTTTTTCCTCATACTTGAATTGCTCTCTTAATTGGTCTGACGATGCAATGTGAATCGGTCCGCTGCCGCTGCACTGCTGTTATTTCTAAGATCGTGCTTAAAAGAACAATAGGACACAGAATAATTGCCTTGTGCGAACAGCTACGGTGCATGTGTCGTAGCAGCATAAACCACGTGGGCCAATTCTTGGCACAACTGTGGTGTGTACTGCTGACAAAACTCACTCAAGGGAATAGAGCCGTTCAGGTTAACACAGCCACGTATGTGCTTGTGTCGCCTTGTGCAGGAACATTGAAACTTTTCAAAGTGGAGAATGTGCGGGCTGTTCGACATGAAACGAGTCCGCTTTCTTATCGGCTCCTTGGTGATAGGGTCCTCCAGACCCAGGCGGCACTGATCGAAAGCACAGGAATAGCAGTTGCTCAGATGCTTCTTTACACACGGCTGTTCCCAGGAGAGTGCATCGACCGGGTGCTCGAAACCAAAGAACCTGCCCTCCTTCACTTGCTCGTCTGCCATCTGCATTGCAAACTCCAGCATAACATCAGCTTGGAGTTTGTCCGCAGCCACTTCAGCTGGAGGCCTTCGCGCAAAATTCTTAAAGCATATCTGCAGTCGGCTGTACATGCGACAGGGCGGGCTCAACATGAGGAACAGGGGTTTCATCTCTGTCACAATGCGACGAGCTCTGGCTCGACCTTCCATTGTCACGAAATCATAGCCTGTCTTCAGGTCCATCGCTGGTCCAACTTGGAGGCCCAAACGCCGCACTGCAAACGAAACCCTTGGCACGCTATAAGCTTCTGCAAAATGAGTGATCGTCATGACCTCATCCTCCTCATCATCGCTCACAATGACAACGGCACTGTCAGAGGGCATCTTGCTATCCACATCCCGGTCCTCATCATCGCTCATAACGACGATGCTTTCAGATGCCATGTTCCTCTGCTTTGTCATGCTCGACAGAACAGCTACTGGCTACAGTCTTATCCTGCACGTAGCACATTGAGCCTGTGTCCTTCTCTACAAGAGAACAGTCTTGGATCTCGTCATTACGGTCTCACTCACTGTGTGCTACGTGAGCCAATGAAGTCCAGGACGTCTCAAGTCCAGCTCAATCGGAATTCGATGTGGAGTGAGAGCTAACCGAGGCTGCTTGCCTGCTGCACGCCAGCTCAGGGCTGGACCATCCTCCCGGGCAGCAGCCTGCAAGAGAGCACAACGAACAACAGATGCTCAAGCTCCTGCCTGAAAGCAAACATCTATGCACTTGCGCAGCAGATTGATGTCATGTTTTCAAGCTCTCTGTCGCTGTGTCAGAATGTCACGGACTGCAACTCACACGAGCGGATGATTGGCAAAGTGCCTTTCCATCTTTCTGCCTACGATGCTGCTTCAGATCTGCCCTGGCCTCGCTTTTTGTTTTTACCTAGGTTGCTTTTGCGAATAAGATATTATGTCCAGAGTCGACGAGTACGCGAGGCGAGAGGCTGAAGCATCATGACCCATCGGCCCAAATCCAGGCCGTCTTTTCATCATTCAAAACTAGACCCTGCTTGGCCCGACATCTTGCACAACCAATGTGCCTGTTGTGGACGCACTTCGGGCATCCCAGAGTGCACCTTTCATGCACATCGTCTGGAAAGGGCAACATCCCATACCTGGGTTTCTTTCCTCGTGGCTCGGCGGATGCACCTTCACCTTCTGCTCCGCTAGAAGCTGGAGTGCCCGTTGCGGCCTTCGCCTTCGCTTTTCCTTTAGCCTTGCCTTTGGCCTTGGGTTTCACTTGGGCACTGGCCAACGGTGGTATCGGCACTCGAAGCGGCGCTCCCTGTGCTGCACTCGCAGAGGTCGCCGGTGCAAGCTGCGGAGGCTGCTGGTCGTCGTCATCCGGCAACGGCACATCGTCTGATGCCTCGGCCACCTTCTGGACTGGCTTGGACTTGGCAGCTGTGGCCACCTTCTTATTCACTTTCACAGAAACGGGCGCTGGAGCACGATTTGTGAAGCTCAGATCCATCGCCTCGGCTGGCGATGGCTGCTCGGCCTTCACAGCTGAAGCATCTGCTGCCTTCAGGGACAGACGAATGTCTGGAGCAGACCAAGGAGCGGTCGAAGGAGAGGCATTGTTCCTGATCATCGTCCTCAAGTAAGAGCTGGCCCGTCCCATGTTCCATGGCATTTTCGCAATCTGAATCGCTGTTTTTTCAAACTCCTTGGCTTGTGTGTCTGAGAACTCCCTGCGTGGGGCCAGGGGCAGGCTCGCAAAATCGATGTCTCTGCCAACACATGCAGGAATGAAGACAATGGGATCCTGGCACTGATCTGGCGAGGAGATGTATTGGAACATCTCCAAGATGATATCATCCTCATGTGGCGGGAACAAAAGGCACTCTCGCACAGGATGATCCTCGGTTGGATTGTAGTGCTTCCGCTGCACCAAGGAGAAGACATGGATGGCCTCCTCGCCCCTCTGTGTCATGGCGGCTGTTTGCACATGCCCTGCCAACTGTATGGCAGCGAACTCCTCCAGAGCGTCTTTGAAGTTGTAGCTGCCCTCAATCTTCTCCACGTTGATCTTCTGACCCGGCTTGGGCTTCATACCCCCTGCCACCACAGACATGAAGTCTTCAGGTGTCTCCAGGTCCTCGCTGTCAGCCAACAGGGACCGCACCACGCTGAACTTCTGATCAACGGGACCATGAGAATGTCCAACGCGGAAGCTTGTCAGCAAGAACTCCCGGCACCACCCCTGCCGGACCAACACGGCCCCTGCTTTCAGAACAATCTGATTTTTGGTCTCGCCTGCTGCATTATCACTGTGGACCCTGATCACCTTTGGCGCAGATGATCGCTCCTTCATGGCCCTTTGCAGTGTGCGAAGCAGCAGTGTAAGCATGAGGTTGGAGTCTTTCACCACATCTTGGTCCAAAACATAGTAGTCTTCGCAGAACCTGTCCGCCAAGACAGCGGTAAAAGTATTTTCCGGTCTCCACAGCTTCTGAAATTCTTTGGACGCCGACAAGCGCCGTGGGCACTTAAATTTGGCGCAGTCCATGCTGTCGATCGTGAGCGACACCATGGTTTCTCCAGAGCTGCCTTGAGCATTCAGCTCTGCATCCATGCGCCGGTCGTCTAGCATCGACTGCAGGTGCTGGCAGTAATCGTTCTTGATGAGCTGCCGGTCCTCTGGACCGGTCGCCACACGCATCCACTGCTTCAGCTTCTCACACTCGGCGCACTTGGAGTGCTGGAGGTCGTACCTGATCTTGAGCCGCCCATGCCAGGATTGGTGAAAGCATCGGACAAACGTCGAGTAGCTCGGGGCAGGGTCCACCGGCATGAAAGACATCGCCTCAGGTCGCCATGATGTATTTCCCAAATTACCTGCCCAACCGAACCTATGGATTCTATTGAAACTGCTGTTGCTGCTTTCTCAATCTGTCTCCGGCCGGGGGACAACCTGGCGCATCTCTGTGAAGGTCGTGTGTGGCGGCAGATAGCGAACCACTTCATCGCCCAGGGCTGACTCTTTCAAGAGGCCGCTTTTGTTGAAGCTGCCCAGCTTCATCTTCGTTGAGGTGAAAACATCACCAGACTCCACCAAAGGCTCGGCCATGTGCAGATGCACCCACGCCAGCAAACTATGAGCATTCACCTCTGCTGGGTTCGAGGACAATTGGCTCGAGACGACCTTTCGCAAGTCGTTCGGTGGCTCTAGGAAGCCCTGTGCCTGGTGCTTCTGCATCTTCGCAAACCGCCTAGTGCTCATGTTCAGCAAGCCACACATTGCCATTCTGCATACTTTCACCCCGCAGAAAGTGTGCTGCCGCCACCCAGACCCAGTGTGCCAATTGCGCATGCAATCATAGCGGATTCTATCCGAATCTGATTTTGAAGCAGCTTGCAGTGCTTGTTGCAAGTCATCTACGATTCGTTGGGAGGAGCTGCTCTCGCCCAACACCATCAAACATCCTTGCTGGCAGCACCCTCCATTTCTTTCATTTTCTCCATCACTGCCAGAAGGCAAGCTGACAACTTCTGCATCGGAACTTGAGGGCAGCTCCACTTCCTCCTCACTCGCCATGGTATCACGGAAGTCCTAGAACCGATGATCTCTTGCTCTCATGTATATCACGGATGCTGAAGATTCTCCTAGGCCCCTTTGGCCTTGTGATCACTCCTGGACCCGAATTGTCGAACCTTCGAAAAGCATCCCTTCTAATATTCCCTGGAGCACTCGCTGCGCTCCAACAAAACTTGAGAATCATGCTGCGCACGTGGCTGGCAAAATGAACCTCTTTCAGATCTGAAAAGAGTACCAGAGTCTACAAACGACGCCAGATGAACCCTCTCTCAGGGTCCCCTGCAGCATGTGATGAAAAAGCCTGCCTCCACTGAGTCGAGCTGGTCCACTGATGGCCTGGGCGAACGAGTGCAAAGCTTCTAACAATAGCAGCAAGAACAACAACAAGCAACAACAACAACAACGACAACAACAACAACAACGAGGAGAACGACAACATGAGCAACAGCAAGAGCAACAGCAACCTGCCTCCACGGATTCGAGCTGGTCCAGTGCTGACCTTATGAGCAAAAACACAACAAGCTCCGTGCCCAGAAGCATGACGAACAAGTAGCTGCATTCACTCAGCACCCTTTTGCAAGACTCAGCACCCTTGGCACGGAGGAAGGCGGTGCTAATTAGGTGGCTGCCTGCTATGTTGAATCTGAACACCGCAGCAGAAGCGAATGCTGCATGCTGAAATCAGTCGTCCATGATCTGGTTCAGGGGCAGCAGGTCTTGACTTTGTGCAAAGTCCGCAGCACTGTTCCGTGTCTCCAAGTCCACGTGCCCTGACCTGTGTGCGGAGCTGTCCTCTGTCTGCCTGGCATCCATGTACCGCCTCAGGTCCTCGTGCCCTTCCATGCGCAGGATCATATCCTCGAGTCTCTGCCAAGCCTGATCCCAAGAAAAGCTTTCACAGCCCATATGCAATTTTGCAAGTGTTGTTGTCCTACCTCCTTGTTTTGCTATTGCAAATAAGTTGCCGCAGGAGTTTCAGGAAGCCGAAGCCGTTGTCGCTTCCTCGAAGGCTCGCCTTGCTCTGCGCCGGGGTCTTGTAGATCGCTCAGGCCCAGGACTTCACCCTCAGCACATTCGTTTGCCTCGACGCCGGAGTCAGCGTCCCAGATTTGTGCGTTCATCCGCCTTAAAGGGCAGGCCACGGCTGCAGTTGGAGCAACGCCGTCGATGATGCGTGTGTTCATCCGCTTCAGGGGGCAGTCTGCCATGAGAGCCTACAACGGTCAGGCAAGGATCAGCAGCCGTTTCCTGGAACACGGAGCCCGAGAGCGAGCTGCGGTTTGCAAACATGATGCAACAACTTACAGTCACCCATCCGTCATCCATCCAAATGTGTTGCTTCATGTGCAAGAACGTGTTGAAGCAGTGAGCAATGTAGCCCCATGTCTGTAAAAACTGAGACCCTGGCAGAGAATGAGGGAGTCCGCCTACCCACTGTGGACATGTTTATATTCTCGTGGGAGTCCGCCTACCCCGGGAGAAAGCGGACTCCCATGCCGAAACCCGAGTTTTAAGCCGACCCAGCCGATGACAGTCTCAGTCTCTCATTTTCTCAGAAAGCAACACCCAGGTTGCTCGGAAGTGGGTCGCTCTCTCAGCGACTCTGAAGCCCGAGCTTTCGAGCTGTCACTCTCTCAGTGACCAGAGATCAACACCCAGGTTGCTGGCATTGCTGGGAAGGTCACTCTCTCAGTGACTTTGATATGCAAACTTGAGAAAATAAACTGATTGAGCTAACACAGCCCAACAATGCCAAGGTCGCGACAGCGTCGGTTCCCGGCCAGGATCTCTGCCTGATTGCCATGAAGAGAAGTGCTAAATGGTATGTGTACTTAGGATTCGAGCCCTGCCAGGTCGCACCTTCCACCAT